TGATAATCTTAATGATTATGAAACCAAGTCACAATTGATCCTCTAAGGCAGTCTTGGTAAAATTGTTTCAACTAAGAAGAGGAATCAGATATTGTTGAAATGGTTTAATCTAGAAATGAATCATACTTCACATCAAACCAAGTTTTAGAGTCACACTCTAGAAACTTCGAATCGTATCTCGAAGCTTATTTCAAACTAAGTAGGTTTATAACACCTCATTAAATGTGGAGTAGAAATGTTTTCTTACTTTAACACATTGAAAATTGGTAGTTATGATAAACTGAGACCAATCTGATGAAGTGTTTTCTTGATAAGAATCCACACTAACTCTTAAATATTTGTTTGTCGAGGAATGTTACTTAACAGAGAAACGTATATGTCAAGGATTCAGTGGGAGTCTTAATGATCTTGAATAGTTTCAGGAGTCAATCAAGAATAAACCTGTTAGTTATCACTAGCACACGACCTGAGGTTAATAATCTATCGTTTTGACACATTATTGTTTCTATGCACCTTCCAGTTGAGTTGACTATGCATGTGAGTTCTATAGTTCTCATTTGACTACAAGAGGCAGAGCACATTGGTTAATGATAGTACATTGGTCAATGGGAGTAAGCTGCTTGGCAATTTGGAAGCACTGGTAGGCCCTTGTGCTACCAAAAGGCAAGAAATTAAGAATAAGTAAAGTTCGGTCCATGAAAGGAAACCTAAAATTGATTTTGGTTTTGTCCTCAACCTTTTCTTATGATTGTAGGTTGGAACTGATAAGATTCACATGGATAGGAACACATAAATCTAGGTGGCAAAAAGGTTTCGCTCTATTTCATGAAAATGACTATGAGGAAACATTTTTGCTAGTAGATTTTAGATTTGATTAATATCATTATGTTTAGCAGTTGTGACAACTGTGTTCTCAAATTCATGTATGATTACGGCATCCCTTTTCATAGTTCGAATTGTGAGAAATGGAAGAAATAGTTTAAACGTTCAGGACTTATTGCTATAAGTTCTGAAAGGGTTTAAACACACACATATGCTATCCGATGAAGGTTTATGAGCTAGAGAAGTCTAGATGAAGACTTATCAAAGCATCACGTATCAGAAATCCGTACATTGGTAAGAAAGTCAACAGTATTGATTTCTAGAAGTCCAGTTGATTTCTGGGTACATGTCAAAGCTAGTGGGAGCATAATTGTTATGCTGAGTGTTACAAGTAGGCAATTCTATTCGTAGGAAACAAAGGTTGAAAATTTTCAAGTTGTTTCACTATAGAAAGATTTAAGGGAGAAGGCACTTATACTTCATTTCAAATCTAAAAGTTTAGATTGAAGTGTTAATAGAACTTAGTCATGAACATATATGAATATCGTGTTGAAGTGATTCAACATAGGAAAATCAATATATGGAAATACTATAGCAAGAGACTGATCTAGTATCATGTCTTTGTGTGAGACATTATGTATCGAATCCCATATGCTTCAAATATAGGATTGATTACATATGCTATAATATTTACTTGTTTTGATTTTCCAAATGCTTAGGGCATTTAGAGGGAAAAGGACTAGAGCTGGATATGACTTAAGTTGTTAAACAATTGTCGAGGACAATCTGAAGTTCGCTGAAGATTGGTTGCTTGTGGACAGTTGGGAGTATAGTATTTGGAAGGACCATATTGACATGTTTTAGATTGAGATGATTCTTTATCAGAATGGATTGTCATATTGGAATATGGAAATGTTTCCATAATGGGAGTTAGTTGTTGAAATCTACATTTGAGTTAGAAACTTTAATGCAAGAAGGATGTTCAAGGAGTGTACTTTGAATTTGATACTTCATTACCATGAAATTGTTTTAAGTAACAAAGTTTCAATGGAGCATTTTGTGACATCGTTGGCTAAGTCTCGGTGACTTTGACACCATGTCATCACAAAAGGATGTTGCATGTAAGGTTGGACTCTAACATATTTAGTGGTGACAAGAATTTGGAATTCTTACTCTTGTAATAAGGATTTGGAATTGTGAAATGAGCATCATTGGAGTTATATCCAATTGATCTGTTTACAAAGGAAGGACCATAGAGAAACATAGTATGCATGTGTAGAACATGACATGACTAATGTTTAATTCAAGTGTCTAGTTGATTAATCGAAACATTATACAATTAATAAAGTCTAATTAATATGGTGATTTAATAATAAGTGTTTTATTTATATTCAATTGTTTGAGACCATATTTAATTAGGTTATTATTGTGTTTCACTTCGCATGTTTTACTTCCCGAATAACTGGGTTATTCGAAACTCCACAGTCGCTCGTACATTTGGAAGTAAGTAGCGAATTAAGACTGTCGTGAACTGGATTGTATATGAGTTTTAGACATAGCAATGGTTTTGCTACAATGTTCATGAGTACTTGAAAATGGAAATTTTAAGTATTGGATAAACCCACGCTCAAAGAATTACTTCATGGATTTTATCACGAGTAATTTTTGAGATGATAACATCTTATATTCTTGAAACGAAGACATATAGTTGTTGTTTACGAGTCAGTTTTACATTGATAATACGTAAACGCATCAGTAACTTGATGTTATAAAACGTATTGTTGTGTGTGATTTGATGAGTAAATAGTACAAACATATGAGTCGAAGTTTATCAGTTCATTTTACCCTAAACGGGAAAAGCAATATCTGTGGGCCCCTCGATGATTTGATGATGACATCTAAAGCACTTGGCAAAGCCTGGACTGAATTGATGTGTTCAATTAGTAGTCTGTTATCAGTTGTCATAAATCAAAAAATCGTGAAACAAATTTCGGACAAAGAGAATGATTGTAATCTATGTCTCATGTTCATACGATATCTTGTAGAATGGAGGAATACTTGATCCCTTATCTTAAGGACACGTAACTAACTAGGTTAGAGTTCGACAACGGCTTTTGAATGCTACAATTGCTGGTCAAATTTTGAGGTCATACTTGCAATAATAGTTATTAGACTTATCCAAGTGGAAGACTGTTGGATTAGGTGTCTAAGCGCATAACTATAATTGGTATGTACTTGATTTGATAGTAGTATGGTCCTAAAACAGGAAATTAGGGTTTCCAACTGAAAACCCTAGCTTTGGGACTAAGCAACCTGCAACATATATATAAGCATTGCCTTGGAATTTTCGGCCACTCTTGATTAACCCTAGGAGAACCGAAATTCTTAGACTATTGCCTCCTCTCCCCTCTCATCCTCTTGCATAGGGTGTTTGTGAACCATTAGAGGTGCAACATTTGAGGCACTAAGCTTTCAAGAGTCAAGGATCTACAAGGTTTCTTGTTATTGTTACATAACAAGTAAGGTAAACATCAAAACCCTTTTGTTATATGATTTTTCGAAATTGTATGCTAGATCTAGGGTTTATTGCTTTGGTATTCAATTTGCATGTTCAACTAGTGAAAAACTTAGATCCAAAGAAATTAGGGTTGCATGTACACATAAGTTGTAGTTATGCTCAAAATCCATCAAAAAGATATGCTAGAAGATGTAGATGATGTTTTCAAGGTAAATCACCACACTAAAGGCTTTCTTCTCCTTCAAAGATCACCAAAAACACCAAAATGAGTTCACAATTGCAATGGAGGCTAGGGTTAGGGTTTCTAAGCTTGAGAGGGTGATAGAGGGTGAATGATCACCAATGCCTAAGAATTAGGGGTTTCTCCAAAAACATTTGCCACGCCGTGACACCTATGGCCACGTCGTGGCAGGTCATTTTTAAATCTACGATCAAAACAATATCGCCACACCGTGGTGAAGATCCACCATGTTGTGACCACCTAAAAATAGAAGTAGACCATTTAAAAATTAACTCATACCTGGAACTGGTGTTACAGTTGGACATTCTATCCAACACCAGATGTGCATATTAAAAAGACTTGCAATTATCTTTATATATCTAGATGTCTAAAGACGCAATTCTCTTTGCAATACAACTCTTAAATTAACAAGAGAGAGAGAGAGAGGGAGACCTAGAATGGAGTTCGATTCCATTGGATTTTGAGAAGAACTGTTGATATGTTTCAATCACGTGTGACAAAGGAGGTGGGGTGTCAAGAGATAGATAGAGTAGAAAAAGAGAAATTTATAAGGAAAATGGTGATGCAAAGAGATACATAGAGCTGGAAAAGAGAGATACAGAGGAAGGAGAAGGTTGTCGGAATCTTAAGGTGGTCGCCGATAGGGGCATAGTGGAAGTAGGTCGCCAGATGAAGATAAACGAGGTTGGGTTGAGTTTTTCAAACCCACCAACCTGTTTATTTCCCATGACCTACGAACTCGATTCTAACCAACGAAACCGAATCTGACTTATGAACTCAAATCTAACCCACGACCCCAAATATGATCCACAAACTTGCAAACCTGTATAATTAATAAGGTTCCACAGATTGTGTCCGGATTTGGATTATACGGGTTAGGGCTGAACAAGATGACACATATATTCATATCGGTTATGTCCAGATTGATCTTTCTAACCGTCAACCTGCTCACATGCGCTCAACCAACCCACCAACCCGAGCGAGCACCACTCGATTGCATTCATGTTGGAGGCCACTTTCTTATTTTCGGGTTAAAGAGCAATAGTGAGCTTTTTTATAAATCGAATGGTTTAGAGTTCAGAATCTTTTATTAAAAGGCCGATTAACCATTTAGAGGTTAATTTTTATGGAACCAAACATGATGAATATTGAACAGTTTTCTTAATTTAACCGTTAACAAACGTAAGTTGAATAACTAAAAAGCTAACATTTGATAGTTTTTTTTTTTTTTTTTTTTTTTTTTTTTTTTTTTTTTTTTTGCAAATTATTCAGCCATGCCAAAAGAAACGCCACTGGCTTTGCCACCTCGTGCATTTCATGAAACAAGGCTTTTTATAAGGAGAATGGATGATCACTATCTCACAGGCTAATCAGGCATTCTTTGAGTTATATATCATATGTTGTTCACAAAAACGGCCTGAAAATGAGGCACGAAAACAGATGACGATCATCTCTCTATGTTCTTTTTGTTTTCCCTCAATCTCAATAGGAACAAGATAACACCTATATACATATGTTTGTGAATTTGTAACAATGGCCCAAGCAAACGATATTGAGAAAACCTCCAACGCCCAAAGCGGTCAACAAGTTCAAAACGTGCAGCATATTAAGAGTACCTCTAAAGCTCAAACTTCCTCGACTTTTCAACAACTTTTGCAACGTAAGCTTTGTCATGTTTCGTTTAGATTTAGCTTGATCTTTGCATATATATAAACAATTTATGTGGACATTATCAAAACTATCAGTTATTTGTAATCTTGATTATCGACAGATAAATAACATGGAAAATGAAGAAACTCCCGGGTTTGATTCCCAAATGCTTAATTCTCCTTTTGCTGTTTTTTTAATCGCAGGCGAAGGCTCGAAGTGGTCACATATTTCCACGGAAAAGCTCAAAAAGAACAAAAACCAAGAACACAACGGGAACGACCATAACAAGAAGTCGTCTGTGCTAGCAAAAGTAAAAGAGAAGGCCAAAAAGTTGAAACATTCTTTGAGTATCAAGAAACATCGCCATGAAAATGATCCACCATCTACTTCCGTCACTTGTAATGCCATCACTAGTTCAGAGGACAAAGGGGGAGAAAATGCCGAATTTCACAGTCCAAGAAGTAATGTATTCTCTATAGTTTTACCTCTTACATAAATTAAGAAAAAAAATACTCCTTGTGTTCTAAAAAAATGAAATGTTATTTGATATGTTGGTTAACAAAAATGTTTGATATATAAAGATATAATAATTAAAGAAGACTTACTAATCGATTTACATGCATGTGTGATGTGTATATATTCCAGTGTCCACATCCAAACATATACCAGACACCAACAAACAGGAAGCAAGAGATCATCCTAGAGAAGCTCACATACCAATCACCGAGAAACATTCACCAACCAGCAAAGACGAACCTACATGTTCTAGTAACACAATAAAAAATTCCCATTCCAAGAATGGGGAACTAACCGATGATGCTAACCATCAGGTAACATCCACTGTTGGTGCTCACAATGATGTCAACAATCAAGCAGCAACAACAGCCGATGCTGCTAAAGAAAATGATTTGCCAGAAAGCAGTTCAAGATTTTCAAACCTCACGGTTTCCACTGCGGGAAAAGACGAGAGAAGCACTGAAGAGGGAGAGAACATGAAGACGTGGGAGAGAGGAGTTTCAGTGAAAGAATATTTGTTGCAGAAGTTTGAGCCTGGAGAAGATGAGCGGGCACTATCCCAAATAATTACACAGACCATAAGTCCTAGGCGAGATAAAGTGAGAGAGGCAATGAGTTCGTTTCTGAAAACGGAAGAACCTTCAGAGTCAACAAGTAAGATTTCAAACTCGGAGGTGAATGATAACGATACGAACCCTAATAACTTAAAGACGACGAAGTCATTACCTGCGTCAGTCAACACAGAGTCGAAAATTGCTTCGATTGTTCAAAGCCACAGTTTAGGGTCAAATGCTTCTAAGAATCTAAACCAGACTTTTAAGTCGACAGTTGCTTCATATCAAAACAATTTGAACTCCTCAGCCAACACTTCATCTAGTCCAAAATCGAGTTCATCGCCTTTGGGTCATGGGGTTAGTTCTCCTGAATCTAGTAATGCTCATACTACTCGGGTTCCACCTTCCAAAAATTTACTTGGAGGTAATATCTACTTACCGATTACCATACTACTTGACAACTTAACAATCCAGTAGTATTTTGGCATTTTGCTATTGTTAGTACTGCATGCGATTTAACATGATTATGAATGCAGCTGTGGAAGAATAAAATGATGGAAGAATTCTACAAGCTAAGTGATCGAAGAAGTGTGTAGCTGAAGGCCCTTTCCATGCAGAAACGAGGCCATGCATGATCGTATTTTTAACAATTTAATTATGATTTTTGACTTAATTTCTTCTCAAAACGTAACAAATTGTGTGTTTTTCTGTACATGGAAATGAACCTTTATTGCAAGAGTTTAAATGGTTCATAATTGTGGAGTACTATCATTAATTATGATATAGAAAAAAAAATTAATTAGAATTTTCTAGGCGTACGTTGTTGGCATATAAATGTCTAAATATATGATATCACATATGAATTTTGTAGAAAGACTTAGAAAAATCACATGCAAACTTTTACCATGTACGTGCTCAGTATAACACATCTCTTGCATTATTGTATAAAGGTTCAATAATTGAATATTGAGACTTAAATGAATACGTAAGAAAAATATTTAAAATCAAGAGTTTATACACTACTTAAACTTTTTAACATTATTTTAAAACCTTTTTTACAACCTAATAAGGTTGAAATACGTAAGAACAATATTTAAAACTTTGTAACGTTTGTAAAACTGTTTAAAAATTATGATTTCTTATTTAGAGATTTTAGAAAAAGGTTTTAAAAGTTTGAAAACGTTTTATATAACTCATGTTTTTATAAACCTTTTTAATTACTTGCTCTTTTATAACTATCAAACCTTTTAAACAGATTACTTAATACTTTTTCAACATTTCTAGGTTGTAAAAAATGTTTAAAAAGGGTTGAATTTAGTTTTAAAATGGTTAGTAAAAAAAGTTAAAAATGGTTGTAAAAAAGTTTAAAAATGATGTAAAATAAGTTTAAAAAGTGTTAAAAAAAATACTTAAAACGGTTGTATAAAAAGTATAAAAAAAGTTGTAATTTTTTTTAAAAAGTTGTGAAATAATTTGTTAAAAAGTTGTAAAAGAAGTTTCAAAAAAGGTTGAAAAAAGTCTATAAAGATCTTGTGTAAAAAGTCTTAATTTTTTTTAAATATTGTAAAAAAAAAGTTTGGGGAGTATTTGTAAAAAAATCGGACCAATATTGTAACAAAGTTTAAAACTTGGCCAGAAATGTAAATGTATAAATGATTTTGTGAGCTTGTATTAGCAAGTAAAAAAACCCCTAAGTTCTTTACAATTTTACATAATAAATTAGTGAAAACTTAGAGGAAACAATGTATAAATTACAATATCATATTTTGTATTTACCAATGTTTAAAATGGTTAGGCGTGAAACATAACGTAGTTTATATGTTGCTAATTCGTTCAGCGTTGCAAATATTTTCAAGACAGCAACCAAGTAAAACAAGTCAATTGGCCTAAAAGATTGACGGATGGAATAAAGCACTTAGGATTTTAAACGGGAATCTCGCAAATGGAAAGTAATCCCTTTCTTATATATACACTCCTTCAATTCTATTTTAATGCATGAAGTGTCAATATCATGTCTTCCTATGGGATTTATTCTTTACTTATGGAAGAGGTGACATTAATGATAAAGAAAAAGAATATTATAAATATGCTTTTGTGTTTTTCATTTGTGTTTATTCTTTGCGTATTAAACCGAAAAAACCAACACAATGTAAAATCGTTTTCAGAATTACGAAGACATTGAGTGAACAACATACACATTACAGTGTCATATTCTTATCTTTAATAATGTTTAAAACATTCATAAAATACATCATAAATTATGTAATCTCTTGATGTAAACATAATTACAAGAAATTCCATATTATAAGGATCATAAATTATGTAATCTCTTGATGTAAACATAATTACAAGAAATTCCATATTATAAGGGACAAATAGGAAAGCTTGGTTGGTAAACTACTAAAAGGAAATTAAATTCGTACGATAAACCACTTTTAAGAAATTTCACTGATTGCTTCTTTGGAAAAAATGGTTAATAAAAACAAAAAGATAAACAACTGTACATGGGGAAATAGGAAAGCTTGGTTGGTAAATTACTAAAAGGAAATTATATTCTATTTGTTTGTTATAAATATACAGGATAGGGAGTCTAACATCTTTATCGTAAAGAGAGAAATATAATAATTGTGATGGAGGCAGTACTTGAAGTACTTGAACACGAGCATCCAATAAAGCTCGTTGATTTGCAGCTACATTATGAAGAAGAAGACGATGATGATGCCGATGATGCTAAAGAGGAGGAGGGTGATGATCTAATTACAAAAGAGAGCTTTCGAGGTGCATGTGACAGGTGTGGTGAAGAAATCAATGTGTACCACAGGTACTACTACAAATGTATGGCAGATTCGTCATATGATTTCTCACTTCACAAATTTTGTGGTGAGCTCCCAGCATGTTTGGAGAGCGCATTTCACCGACATCCTCTTACCATGTTTATGCTTCGTTATAATTGGTCATGCGCTATTTGTCACAGTAAGCACAATTCAGGTGAAATCCGTTACATTTGTTTTGAATGTGAATTTTGGATTGATGTAAATTGTACACTAGAAATAAGAAAAAGGATCATTCATCATCCTTGCCACCCACATTTGCTAATATGTGCTATCACAAAGCCAATTTTATGCGACTGTAATGCTTGTGGGAAGGAACACAAAGGGATCTTCTATCAATGCAGTACCACGTGTACCAACTTCATCATCCACAGTGAATGTGCTTTTTTACCAAAAACATTGCTAATCCAACACACCACTGGCGATGATTTTCATCATACTCATCCCCTTATTATTTCATATTCCTTCCCCAGAGAAGATCAAAAAGCTAAACATGATCCCAGATGCAGAGTATGCGGTCATTCTTTTTATGATAGGGAGAATCTTTGGATTTACAAATGTGATAAATGCATGTACTATATCCATATGGATTGTACAACATTATGTACCGGTAATTAATAATTAATCCTTTCTTTTCATTATCATTCACTAGCTACTTATTACAAATTTCATGAATGAGTTAATATAAATTGCATTTAGCTTTATTTGAGATGACGTATTCCATTTTCAATTTATCAGGCGCTGGCAGAACCAACAAAAACTACAAAGATGTTGATCATCCTTATCTTGTCCATCTCCCATTCCCTGATGAAACATACAGCATACCGAAACACTTGTTTCTCCAAGAAACAGGAACAAGCAATCATAAGGTAAATGATTACCTAACACACATGAGTCATAAACACCCTCTAGTTCTAGTTAATGTTGATCAGACACAAAGCAAAAGCAATGGGCAAACCTCCTCCTCAAATTCTTTGTTGTTATTAATAAAGTGTCATGACCCAATGAAAAAGATCCAACTGCTATGCAATGGATGTCTTAGACCAATCATGTCCACCATGCCATTTTATAGGTGTGCTGATCAGAGTTGCAATGGCTTTGCTCTCCATGAGTGGTGCACTCGACTCCCCTTAGAAAAAGAAAACCACCCGGCCCACCCACAACATAACCTCTATCTCATCTATTCAAATGACCTTCCTTTCTTTTTGGGTGTGTTTGAGTGTGCTGTTTGTGATCTACCTTGCAATGGATTTGCGTATGGTTGTGTTCGATGCAAATACTATGTTGATGTTACATGTGGGCTTATACCTAAACAAATCACACACAAAGCTCACCCAAATCACCTTCTTTCAATAGCTCAAGTAGAAGTTACAAATACTTCTTGTCTTATATGTCTCAATGTTGAGGAGGGACGTGGACTTTCATTCTGTTGCAACACATGCAATATTTATATACATTCCAAATGTGCTCTGTTATTAACCGAGACAATAAGACACAAGTATGACAAGAAGCATCCCATGCACCTCAGTTACTTTCCGATTGAGAACCATAAGAGCCAATACTTTTGTGAAATCTGTGAGGAGGATTTGAATCCTCATCAATCTTTCTATCATTGTCAAGATTGTATTCAGTCGATACATACTGCATGTGCTCCGTTAATACTTCAGAGCGAGACTCATACCTATATCACTAATCAGAGAAGCATTTATGAATTTGTGAATATAAAGTTCGGATTCACTCTTAACCTTTTTCGTCTTCACAAACACCCTCTCTTATTTGCTCAAGGTATCAAGTCGGATGGTGAATGTTCTTGGTGGGGGTGTCGTCTGGGATTACAATATAGGATGATCTTTAAATGCCTAAAGTGTAACTTTGTAATTCATTACGAATGTTGTGAGAGAAAAGTAAATATGAAGTTTTTGGTTTCTCATCCACATGTTTGAAACCAAATATGATTTGTAATCACCATATATTACTCTTTCTTGTATTACATCCTCTCTGTTTTATTTCATGTGTATGTATGATGGTACAGTAAAGTAATTGAATTTAACATGTCCATGTCATCTCCTGCAATAAAGAGTGAGGGAAAATTTTTGGATCCCCTAACGCAAAGTTTTTGTAAGGTTATGGATAATCGGTCGAACCAGGCCCTTGGTGCCTGTTTGAGACCATAAAGGGACTTATGAAGCTTACATACATTATTGGGTTTTACCAGATCAACTAAACCCTGTGGTTGACGAATGTACTATTGGATTAGGTGTCTAAGCCCATAACTATAATTGTTATATACTTGAATTGATAGTAGCACAATCCTTTTGGGTTGCCCTCAAACCTAACAATTGGACATGATGACTTTTAGAGAGAGAGAGAGAGAGACAGACAGACAGAGAGAGAGAGAAAGATTAATTTATTATATGATTATTAAATTGAAATAAATAGTGTATTAATATATTATGAGAATAATATATTAATTAGAAATCATATTATTTAATTAATGATTAATAAAAATTAATTGGAATTAATTTTGGGGATTAATTAGATTAATTAAAAGTGTAGGGACTGTTTGGTCATTAAAATTGTTATTTTACTTGCCTAAAAAGAAATAATTAAAATTGGAATAAATCCTATACCCTAATTTTTAAAAATTAGAGGGTGAGGATTATGATTAAATTATTTGATTAATTTAATTAATTAATCCTTATTTGATTTAATTTATTTAGTTAATTTTTAATTAATAGATAAATATTAAATCATTTGGTTTATTTTTAAATTTAAATTAATTGGCAAAATTTAAAAGGTTAAATAAACCTAGTATTTTGAAAAGTTTAAAATACACCTTATATTATATGTAAAATTAAAAACTTAATAATTACTATATGTATAATACTAAGTCATTCAAATCGCTAGTTGTTGGAACCGGAAAGTGAACCTCTAGCAATCACAAGTATTTAAGATCCGAAGTCAGCAAGTTCTGAAGTAGAGATGGAATCCGAAGTGAAGACCATTCCGAAATGGAGCAAAGATCCGAGATTGATAGTTTATTTATGCATTTATTATTTCTTGTATTTTATGTAATGTAACGCTTCATAAGACTTAGCCTTTTGTTTCAATTATATAATCAGTTGTCAGAAGCTGTTTATTATCCAGTCCTTGGAACGTTCGGTAGTTTGTACAATGCACCTCCTTTTCCTATATAAGTAGTGATTTTAATGACAAGAAATACATGATTGTTAATATGATTAATATATTAATTAGAAATGGTAATAATTAATCATAAATTAATTGGAATTAATTTTGAGATTAATTTGAATTAATTGGAAGTGCAAGGATAGAGTTGTAATTGTTCAATAGTTGAACAAGAGGCAATTTCATAACCTTACAAAGGCTTGGACGGTTTTGAGAGGATCAAAATTGGTTCTGGAATATTCCTATAAGATAAATAGGAAACTAGACAAATACCAGATTTGAAATAATATTATTTTATGTTCAAATCTAGGGTTTCTAGGGTTTCCTAGCAGCTATATAAAGACGCTTAACTCTTGCAATTTTTAGCCATCACTATTCCTAGAGATCCAGTCGAAAATTTCTATCCCCTCTCCTCTCTCCTAAAGTCTTCTAGTTTTTAGTCTTGGGTGTGAACCATTAGATGTATCATCCTTTTGGTGCTTGCTTTCTAGAGATCAACAAAAGAGGATTGACGTAGAATTGTTGCAATAACAATTCAAAGGTATGTAATTCTAATCATTGTGATTTTGATTATAGTTGTATACTAGTATGGTTTCTTATTCATAGTATGTTGCCTTTTTGTGTGAAGACATAGATCCTTGTAGGTTGCATGTACCCTTATTTGTTAAGTGTTATTTTTCCGTATTATACATGATAGTTATGAACTACGAAATCCATCATAGATGACGTGATAAGCTTGGTCCACCTTTTGTCCCAAAATCGCCCTAACCGTGGTATTACTAGCATCACACATAATCTCGAATCGAAGATCCCAAATCAGCGATTGAATGATGGGGGCGGATGTTAACAAGTCTTTCAAACGATTAAATGCACTTTTACATGAATCACTAAGCGCGAACTCAAACTCTTTTTGTAGAAGTTGGAACATCGGAACTGTGGTTTTAGAAAAGTCTTTGATGAAACGCCGATGGAAACCTACATGGCCAAGAAAATAATGCACTTCCCAAACATTTGTTGGGTATGCTAAACTCTTAATGAAATCGATTTTGGCATTGTATACTTCTAAGCCTTTTGTGACACTACATGTCCAAGTATCATGCCCTTTTCAACCATAAAATGATACTTTTCATAATTAAGAACTAGGTTTGTATCGATGCACCTTTGTAAGATTTTGGTGTGGTTTTGTAGACATTCATCAAAAGAGTCTCCATATACTGTAAAATCATCCATGAAAACCTATATGATATTTTCAACATATTTTGAAACAATGATCACCATGCATCTTTGAAAAGCCATGGATACATTACACAAGCCAAAGGGAATGTGTCTTTATTCAAAAGTACGAAAAGGACATGTAAATGTTGTTTTCTCTTGGTCTTACGGGGTAAGCGGAATTTGATGAAAACCAGAAAAATCATCAAGGTAGCAATAGTGGGACTTCCCAGCCAATATTTAAAGCATTTGATCAATGAATGGTAAAAGGATATGGTCTTTATGGGTGGAAGCATTCAACTTCCTATAATCGATACAAACTCTGCACCCATTTTGCATACAGGTGGGTACCAAATACCTTTCGGAGTTTTTGACAACCGTAAATCCAGCCTTTTTAGGGACAACTTGTACGGGACTTACCCATTTACTATCAGAAATGGGATAGATTACACCCGTATTTAAGAGTTTCATGATCTCCTTATTCACCACCTCCATCGTGGGTGGGTTTTGTCTCCTTTGAGCTTCGTGGTTTGGTTTGAAATCCTCTTCCATTAAGATCTTATTCATGCATAATGAAGGGCTCAAACCTTTGATGTCCGTGATGGTCCAACCAATAGCTTCCTTGTATTTTTTCAAAGTATCAACCAAGTCTTTCTCTTTCTCTTTTGACAGCTTGTTTTGATATTATGATCGGCATTGTCTCTTTGTCTCTAAGGTATACATACTTGAGATAGTCGGGAAGAGTCTTTAATTCAAGCACCAGTGGTTGTACAATGGAAGGGAGGAGTTTTGGGTCAGAATTGTTGAGATTCATGCAGGGCAATTCAAATCTCATAGTTGCCCCTTTTCCAAGGAGTTGATCATTTCTATCAACTCATTCTTCACAACATACTTTTCAGCCAAGTTATTGATTTCTATCTCATCAATATGCTTGCTCCAGATGGTGGTTAATACATCTTGGCTTGACAAATCAAAGCAATCATTAGTACATGGTTCAATAACATCTATGAAGTTTAAAGAATGAATATCACTAGGATAACATATAGCTTCAAAGATATTAAAGTTGATCACCTCACCATCGAACTCCATAGATAAAGTACCATTTGCTACATCTATCTTTGTTTTTATGGTACTCATGAAGGGTCTCCCCAAGAGTATGAAGCTCGATTGTGGGGTGTTTTCATCACCCATATCTAAGACATAAAAATCAGTAGGAAAGACAATTTCATTGACTTGCACTAACATGTCCTTTAATACACTTTTTGGGGGTACTATTAACCAATCGACAAGTTGTATTATGACTTCAGTTTTGGTTAAAGGTCCAATTCCCATTGTTTTATAGCTAGAATAAGGTAAGACATTAATTGATGCTCAGATATCTAACATAACATGTGGCACAAAAAGATTACCTATTTTACATAGAACCGTGAATATACTTGGGTCCTTGCATTTTTTAGGTAGCGATTTTTGTAACACGGCGGACACATTTTCTCCTACTTTTACTATTTGATCTCCTTTAAGATTCTTCTTATATGTTAAAAGTTCCTTAAGGAACTTAGTATATCTAGGAAATTGTTTGATAGCATCTAAAAGATGGATGTTTATTTCAACCTTTCGGAACACCGTCATGATTTCATCAACTTCTCGCTCCTTCTTGGAGTTCGCTAATCTTCTAGGAAATAGAGGTGGTGTGACTTTTGCTTCGGTAGTGGTGATGGGATTTTTGAATGGATTTATCTTCCTTTTTTTTCCTCTTGACATGGATGTTCTACCACAAGCTCTTCTTCCTCTTTTTCACGATCAACCGACTTCTTTGGACCATCATATCCTTTTCCACCTCTTAATGTAATTGCACAAGCATTGTGTTTCAGGTTCTTCTCGGTTTGATATGGTTGCTTTCCTTGTGATTCCATTCTACTCATGGATTGAGCAAGTTGTGCCACTTGTTGCTCTAAGTTTTTGATGTTGGATTTTGTTACTTGTTGGAACCTTAAAGTACTAGTGGAAAGTCTTTTTACAACGTCCTCCAAGGACATGCTTGATGACCCGATTTATTGCGGAGGTGGAGGATATGGTTGCCTTGGTTGGTAGTTATTATGTGGGAATGATGGCATTGGTTGATATTGGGGTGGTGATCTTTATTGGGATCCCATGTTTTGGCTGTTATTCCACCATTGATTGCCTCGAGACTGATCATAATTCCTTTGATTGGGCCAAGAATAGCCTCCCCAAGCTCTTGCTTCTTCATAATATTCTTCTTGGAGTTGAGGGCACATGTCGGTTGGATGCCTAGTTTGAATACGAATGCCACAAGGACGAGGTATGGGTTGCACACCCTTGTCTTTGGCGAGCATCATGACCGCCTTCGTCAACTCGGATAATTGAGCTTCAATATGTGGAGTGTTCACCTCTTTTACATCTCGGGGTGCGTTCACATACCATTCTTCATCGTGACTTATATGTTTAGAATCCTCCGCCAAGTTCTTGATAAGATCATGAATCTCGGTTGGGGTCTTATTTGATAAAGACCCTCCACTTGAGTCAT